GAACAAAAACGGGCGACTGCCTCAAGTAAACTTTGTAGGGAAGACCATTTAATCCCGGAGATTTATCCAGGCCAACCTGCTTCAGCGCTTCCCAGATTTCCGACTCTGTGATGGGACCCTCGCACCCAGCCGCTTCAGCTGCCTCAAAGCAGGGAAAGTCGGCTAAATAGGCGTTGAAATGATCAGAGCTCAGACCGGGCTCCCTGGTGAAAAGTTCCTGAAAGTAATCCCGAAAAGCCTCACATATACCCACGTTTGTAGTGACGGTCCGTTTATCCGGCAATGTAACGCACGCGATATGTTGCCGAGAAGCATTTCCGAGACATCTCTGCACGCAATTTAGCGGCCATATTCGTCGCTTCCGAGGAGATATTTTTAACATAGCCCTAACTACCAGAGCTTGGTCCTTCTTGCTAAACAAGAAGGCTAACTCTGCCTTAGCGAAGACTATTTCCCCACTATCACGGGATTTAATTGCCCTAGCTGCCTTTTTCTCACAATCCGTTTGCGCCGCTAATCTAACTAGATTGAGCCGACGACTAAAATCAGCAGCAAACGTTCTAATTTTAGATTTTAAATTATCCCACCAGGCATTCCCAACCACAGCCCCTGTCAATTCCCGCTATATCATTAGTAGCAGCAGGTCACGGGAATCTTGCTCACCAAATAATGATGAGTTTAATTTTCAGTAGCCAGCCATCCTAACCTTAGGTTTATCTAAGTTTACACGGACCCGGACAAGCCTATGATCCGAATAAACTATGTAATGGAAACTGGGACACCCTAAGAGCCCTAAATCGACTCTCCTGACTAAGACTCGCTCGAGGTCCAAGTCCATACCACCTCCTGAGAGTACTCATTCCGGTAATTATTGACAAGATCAAACTTATCGATAAAGTCTCGAAATGGTTTCATGTAACGGTTGTTAGTACCCGAATTTGACCCTATACGATCAATGTCGGGGTTAAGGATGGCATTCCAATACCCTGCTAAAACTACCCGACGAGATGTCGTCAAAAATGGCTCGATCTGCCGAAACAAAGCAGGCCGCTCAGAATGTTCATTGGGCACATAAAGGCCAATGAGACGAAGAGCTTTATCCTTTATGGTAACATTCAGCACGCAAAGCCTGTCCGCCGGATCTGCGAAGAAAAGAAAACACGCAGCCTTCAAAGACTTGCTCACCAGCCAAGAGCCACCCCTCGAGCATCCATCAAAATATTCTGAATAGAGGGAGAACCCACTAGACAGAATGCCCTCATTGTCATGAGTAGAAAACCGAGTCTCCTGTACACAACAAACATTCATCCCGAGGCACTAAAGGTCACGAGACAGCCTCGCCCTGTGAGACTCCGACCTCAGGCCTCGAGCATTCACACTTGCTAACTAGAGAGTCATAATGAAGGCGATTAGGGATGCTCTCCTGCATTGGCCGGGGTTAGGACACCGACAGCCTCTCACATTGAGCCAGTACCCATGTCAGTCCTGATGGTGCCATCAGGACATAGGTCGCAAATGTCCAAGGGGAAACTTAATTTTTAGTGCTCTATACAGGGAGTGGTGAACAAAAAGCAGGAGCCTTCCTGAACAATATTGATTCAGTTTTTTGACATTTTCATTGTCAAAGAAAGCCAAGGGTGGATAAATATTAAATGAGCTTCTCGCAGCATAGCCCATATTTTTTCCGAACCTTGCCCAGCTCTCACGACCGTCAATATTCTTTTTGGTTTAGGAAAAATTTTGTGATTTTCAATGTCCAAATTATTATTTTTAAAAAATTTAACAGTATTTTAAGTTCTTTACTTTTACGGGATTGGGTTAAAAACCTTTGCAGACCTGGAGTTTAGATACCCGGCAAACACCTTCCCTCTTATAAAATGTGACTTTTATTTCATATTTTTTCTCAATGGCAGTCTCTCCTGAGTCTGATGAAGGGCTGCGTTGTCTTTTGGGGGTTTCATTTTTTTTTTGATGAATTGCTTGGGGTTTGAACAGGAAATGGATTTGGAGTTAGGGACGGGGTGTTTTTTTAAGTGTGATTTGGAAGAGGAGACTTTCTTAAGGGGAGTCAATTTGGGTTATAGATTTCAACATTGGGGTGGACCCATTGGTGGCTGTTTTGTGGATGGTGAAGAAGGAGCTGATGAAGAGGGCCTAAGTACCCTCTCAGGTTGATGCCGTTTTTCCTTTAAGGACTATTTCAATTTCTTTAGTTTTTCCTTCTTTTCAAAGGAAAGCTCATATTTGAGACGCTGTTGGCGAAGTGTGTCAGAGTAGGAGTTCAGAGAGTCGCCCTTAGAACTGGTAGAAGGAGTGGGGCTGTGTGTGTCTTTAGCCGTGAAGACTTCAGCAGATTGAGGTTCTGCCGCCCGGAGCTCCCCTTCGACCCTGCCAACAACCTGCCATTTTCCCTCTTCCATCTCTGCAACCGCATTAGCGACAGGCAAAGGCTTTTTGGGAAATTGGAGCTGAAAGACTGACCCAACCAGGGTTTTAAACACACAGGTCCCGATCGCTGGCATGCCCATTACAGGTGAGACGGAAACAACAGACTCGGTCAAAGGAGGAATTGGACCGACAGGAGCCAGAACTTCAGAGGCCTTCTTCTCTGTGCACGAAGAGGACAGGTGATCAGTCTGCCCACACTTTTAGCAAGATGCTCTACGCCCGGTGACAATAATTGGCATTTTCTAGCCCACTACACCCAGGCAGTTGGGGATGGAGATGAAGGCCTTCTGATCGATCATTATTTCGAAACTCCATCCTCCGGTCAGATTGTCAGAGGAAGCACTGAGTATCTGTCCAAAATTGGCATAGATATGCAGCTAAGTGCTCCCCGACGACCTGAGGCGGAACCTCAAATACTGATATATTCGTCGTACGCCTGCATTTATATTGTGTACGAAGAATAAGGTATTTTGTAATAAGATCGCGACTGGATGCGCCTTTTGCTTTTTTCACCCTCCGAACAATACTCGGTCAGACGCCGCTAATTCCCATGCATGTATTTTTCTATTACCCGTCACGTGATCTAATTATTTCAAGATGTTGACTAAGCACAGGAGATAGGAGAGCAAGCACGCTCACTGACGGAGATAGGAGAGCAAGCACGCTCACTGACGATCCGTGTTCAAATCCAAGTGTCGGCAGCGACAGTTTATTCCTATATGGCACTCTCCTAAACCTTGTTCTACCATCCATTTACAAAAGCTCGTTAGGTAAGCTATGCGTTGGTTTCCTCTGACCATCTTGCCTTCACTATGTCCTGTGAGTGTTAAATTTCCCGAGCCCTCTTTCCTCATTATGTTTCCTAGAAATTTTGTCTCTTTCTAATGTTAAGTATAAAATTCCTTTTAGTTTCAATTTGCTCTAAAAATTCGTCATTGCTCAAATGTATAAAAAATAAATATAACGATTATCTAATCCAGCAAGGACCTATATTTTTATGTTCAAAAACACATGCGAATACACACAATAACATATACATGTATATACATACACATAGGCGGGTACCCACATACACACATACATTTACCCATGTACACACATATAAAAATATATTCACATGTATTTTTTATATATTTATATTTGATTTGTAACCTGTAGTCGATATTAAATTTGTCAAATTTTCTCAATTACACAGCGGCCCTTTAAGTAAACGCAATTTTAATTTCCTTCGTCCCATCTCTCTCCCCCACCTCGTCTTTCCCTCCCTCTTATTCTAACATTAGATTGTCTATGGTGTGTGTATGTCACCACGAAATGTATCTTTATGCATTAGACATCCGACAACATTCATTTTTCTCTTACTTAAACCCCTTCCACCCATCTCTCCTAAAATTCTCTCTGTTAAGGTTTAATCTCCCTCCTCCTCATACTTACACTCTCCCTAAATTCTGTTTTTATTTCCGGAGTTGTTTTTTTCTGTTTTCTTTTTGAATTTGTAGGTCTGATAAATTGGATCGTATTTACGATTCCAATGGAATAAATTATGACCATGGAATATTAGTGTTTAAGCCTTTTTATTATTATTATATATATATATATATATATATATATATATATATATATATGGTTCTTTTCTTAGGTATATAATAATGCTCTTTTTTAAATGTGCTTTCTGCATTCTGTTGAGGATTTTTCTAGACTCGATGAATTACTTAATGATATATATATATATATATATATATATATATATATATATATATATATATACTTCTGTATTTGAACAATAAAAGTTTGGTTAAAGGGCAACGAAAGTTATTTGTAGATAATTTCCTTATTTTTTGCTGAATTTTCCTAGTTTCCTGTACATATTTAAATATAATTTTCTGATTTCATAAATCATTATAAAAGTTTTTTTACATTTGTGCTATGTCGATTTGGTCATTTTTCAAATATTACGTTTTCGTGTTATCACAAGATAATTCGTGGTATTGAGTATTTTTTTCTTTTTTCTTTTGCTCATAAAATATATCTGGCATATTTATTTCTAAATGTGATAACTTCTTTTACTGATTTTGGGTTATTTGTGTTTTATGTTTAATGCTTCTAATATTTGTATTCATATTTTTAGAATTTGTATGATATTTTATATATTAGTTTTTGTAAGTTTACAAGCATGGAACACCTAGTGAGGTTCGAACTCGCTATTTAGCGGTAATAATTTACGAGAAAAGTTTGCTCGCTCTTATCCCACGATGATGAATCTTTTGCGCGTGTGCGCGCGAGCAAATGTATATTTATGTTTTCTATCACTTTAATTTGACATGTTGGTGACAAATGTCTTCTCCTTCTTTTTTGAGTGATATGATGTTTGAGCTGTAACTAATGTCACAATAACAACGGCCAAAGATCATTGATTCTAACTCTTTCTATTTCTATTTTAGCAAAGAAAGCTTATTGGATGGGGTCGACCAACAAAGAAAAACCAGTGAACATAAAAATGAAAATGCCTGCAAACGGACGGTTGGAAAAGTGAGTGGGAAAATTTTCTTTGCTTAGGGACAATAGTGTAAAATGGCGGACAACTGGAAAAAAGGCAAGTGGCCTATTTGTGTGAGAAGGGAACGAACGAAAAAGTGATTGAAAACTTGAGAATCTAGTGAGTAGGAAAAGCAGACGATAAACATATAAGATTGTTGAGAAATAGGAAAAAAGAAGAAAGGCAATTGTAAAATGAAAAAAAAGAAAAGAAAAGGCGTTGGATGGACAGACGAAAGAAATAACAGCAGAGGAGAAATTAAAAAAAGAAAGACAACAAGAAAGGATGTACGGAGAATGCTTGAAAGGGAGAGTGAGTGAAAGAGAAGAAGAGAAAACATTAGAATAAGATGGATGTCGGAACGAAGAATTGAACAAATAAAAAAGAGATAAAAGTGGGTAAAAATTAGGGAAATATTGAAAGAAGAAAAAATAAATAGAAAGAAAAAGAATAAATAATTAAATAAATGAACAAACAACTAAAAGAATGAAAGAAAAAATGGAAGCGTCAGACGGTCGGATGAAGAAGAGGAAGAAGTAAAAAATGTATACCGGATCTATAAGACTAAAGAAAAATAAGGGAAAAAAAGAAGAAGAAGAAAAAAGAAAAAAAAAAGAAATATCGAAGAAAAAAGAAAGGAAGAAAAAATAAAGAGGAAAAGAAATGTAAAATAATTCAACGAATGAATAACTGAATAAATCAAGAAAGAAAAAATTAAGGAAAAAATATTGAAGGAAAAATATGAAATTAATAAGGCTTTAAAAAAGAAAAAGAGAAAGAAGTAAAAGGAGGAGGAGATGAAGCGAGTAAAAGAAAAAAAGGGAAGAAAGTAATAGAAGAAAGATGAGAAGGAAGAAAAAGAAAAGAAAGAGGAGAAAGAAGAACGAGATGAAAAGCGGTAAAAGGTAAAAAAGAAAAAAGTAAATGAAAAGAAAGAAGGAAATAAAAAATAGAAATAAGAAAAAAGGGGAGAAGGAGGTAAAAAAGTGAAAGAAGTAAAAGAAAAAAAGAAGCAGACGAAGAAGCAAACTAGAAGAAGAAGAAAAAGGAAGTGAAAGAAATAAAAGAAAAAGGAGACGAAAAAAAAGGAAGAAGAGGAACTGGAAGAAAAAGAGGAGGTAAAACAACAACGGAAAACGAAGAAAAGAGGAGAAGGAAGAAAAGAAAAATAGGAAAAGATAGTAAAAGAAAAAAGAGGAAAAAGAAATAAAAGCAGCGAAAGAAGTAAAAGAAAAGAGAAGAAGAAAATAAAAGAAAAAAGAGGAGAATGAAGTAAAACAGGGGAAGGAGATAAAAGATAAAAGAAAGGAGGAGGAAATGAAAGAAAGAAGTGAAGGACGTAAAAATAAAAAAGACGAGATAACAAATAAAGGAGTAAAGAAATTAAAATAAATGAAATTGTGTAAAGGGGGATTTGAAAAGAATGAAGAAGAAAGAAGAATGAAATTGTAATCGAATGAAGAAAATTCGGACGTGTGAAATGAAGAAGAAAGTCAAAAAAGGAAAAAGAAGTTAATTCAAAATAACAGTTTGCTTTATATTTCTAACCAGCGGTCGGTGTTCGCGCCCAGACAAAAAACTCAGGATTTCGAATGTGGATTTTCTCTAATTGATCTTGTGTCATACGAAGCTAAGCATTCAGTTGTGACCTGGTCTTGAGTTCGAGACCAAGTAAAAATCAGAAATGTTTGCCTATGATCCAAATGATTTCGAAGGCTGATTTTCTAGCCACATTTTTTAGATTTTTACTTCAAGATCCTTGTATTTTGATAGTATTTTCAAGATCTTCAAAGACACATTGCAATCTGCAGAGACTACCATATAAAAAAGAAATCAAATTTTGCTTTTGTGGTCTCTGATCATGATGCCTGGGCGTTTAGCTTTGATTGTTATGCCTGTGTATATTATAAAGTCCCATAAAATTGTTACGGGTCCTTTCTACGTAACCGGGTTTGGGTGGTGTTCATACCAATTTCTTGCAGTTTCCTTTCCGTAAAAGTTGCAGATTTTCCAGTGCAGATATTGGCCCACTCTGGCATGCCCAGTTTTATATTCGACTAGCAGCATGGCCCGGCGTTGTCCGTGCTTGATTCAAAAATCGTACGACTCATACAACAATCGCTATCACTTGACTTAAAATATTTTTGCCATTCCTTGCCTTTAAAGGAGTGCCCTTTTCCGTGCTGATGATACTACATGCCTTACTTCTTGCCTATCTCACACTGCGAATTTTTTCTAAGCTCTATCCTAAACATTAAATCTGTTACGAAAAAAGAACTAAACAAAATGAACACAAAACGATCAGCTTTAAAAAAAAGGACTCGTAACTGGAAGAACCGAATCAAAAAAGAATGTTAACAACAAATACTTTTTCACACCCAACCCAGTTCTGCGGAATCAGAATCAACGTTGAGTTTAAGCAAGCGAATGAGCCAATTGGAGTAAAGTGCCATGCAGATTTTAATTTTTCCCACTTGTGACGAATGCAGATATCGATTTTATTTTGCATGCTAGCATGCTAGTTAAAATTCGTGTCAGTCAGCTGTTGGCTCTCACGCTGGCCAAAAGAATCTTCCTGCCTATTCGTGGCAGCCAGCTATAGGCTCTCACTATGGCCAGTAGAAAATGACCACAAACTACATGAAAACTGCCGTAGAAGCATGAAAAAATCGATTATTTCCACTATCGATGGGAGTTGGGAAATGCAAAGTCGGTTTTGGCCTTCCCGCTAACTTGGAGCATGTACATGTAAATTTTGGTGCAAATCCGTCGAAAATTGCGGCCGTGCATTCATTACAAACACACACACACACACACACACACACACACACACACACACACACACACACACACACACACACACACACATCCTACCTTTTATAGATAAAGATGGGTTCTAATACGGTGCAACATGATACAAGATGGTCAATTGTTTCTGGATATTTATCACAGAATCTGTATTTGGGCTGAACACAATATTTTAATAGTAGTAGTAGTAGTAGTAGGATGATGATACTGATGATGGTGATAATGATGATGATGGTGGTAATGATGATGGTCATAATGATGATGGAAACACGGTAGGGTAATGGGTAGCGGCTCTGACTGAGAAATTCCAGTTAAGTTCATTGCATTCATTTACGTGCTAATAACTTTGGTAAAGGTATGAATCCATCTCTCCCCCGCTAGCTATAGGTGAATAGCAGAACAGACCGGGCCCTATAGCCTTGGTTGTCAAACAGTCTAGAGTAAAGAAATTTCTTAATTCTAACCACCTGCTGCTTTGTAGGTTCTGCCTCTTTTACTTCTGAAAGGAGTGATGAGGTAACCTCAACATTGCCGATGCAAAAAGAACCGGCAAACTATTACTACAATTTTGAGACGGAGAGGATTGGAGACAACCAACGGTGCAAAGTTCGCTGAACTATTTCTTCTTCTTCTTCTTCTTCTTCTTCTTTCTTATTATTATTATTATTATTATTATTATTATTATTATTATTATTTTCGGTTTTCTTGATTTGTTGCTTGACACATTCCTTTATGAGAGACCGGAGAATAAGGAATATTTTTCTTAGAAACTTATTGCGTATATTACATCAAAAGAATTTTTCCCAGTATGTGAGCGACGAATCTCAGTTGATGAGGGTGTTCCTGGCAATTTCTTAATGTGTGCATCAGTATTCTTTTTAATCGTTCAAAGTGCTCCTATTATCACTGGAATTGAGGTTGTTTAAATGCCACATTCTTGTAAGTTCTTTTTCCATGTCCTTATTTTTCATACTTTCATAGTGTTTTGGTTTGCTTTGAAGGATTTAATATTTGCCCATAGCTGGGACCCTAACAGGTGCTACCACCCCGGGTTAGGGTGGACAACAGCAATTAAGAAGTGGTTCCTCGCTCCTCAAAACCTCCTGATCAGAGGCCTTACTGTCGGATGAAGTTTAGCGTCATACCAAGGACTATTGGGTTTAGGGTAAAACACCCAGAAATTAGATAATCAATATTTAACTTTGTATAAAAGCGACATTTTGGATCTGTTTTGTGTGTTAAAATATGTGTTTGGTAGGATTTATTTTATTTTTTATTTTATTTTATTTTATTTTTTTTGCTAGATGAATTCTGCTGCTTCTGATTTCACTCCGAAGTTCCACAGCCACCAATGATTCTTACTTTTTCCTTTGATGTTTTTGCCTCAATTTTTTCGTTCTTTCACAGCTGAGAAGTATTGCCAAGACATCGATCAAATGCATCAGAAGTTGTGGTGTAGTTCAGCACTAGTCAACAAAAACGGTTCAATCTTCTTGCACGACAATGCTCGATCACGTGCTACATAACGAACGCCAGAGAAATTGAATGAATTGGGCTACGAAACTCTGAATCATTCCCCCCACCCCGACTCACATGGCCTCTGGACAACTGATTACCACATTTTCAAACATTTGGACAACATTTTACAAGGAAAAGTTTTCAACGATTCAATTTCTGCCCAGAAGATTTTGTTACCTCCCAAAATTCTAACTTCTACAGGAGTGGAATAACGACACTTGTATTTTGTTGGCAAAAATGGGTAAAATCTAATGACTTTTATTTCAGTTAATAAAAATTCTTTTGAAGTAAGATCTGTCATTTTAAAAAAAATAATAGTTCAAAATATGCATTATTTTTTCGAACAAACTTAATTTTTTATTAACCATTTCACAGTCAACAAACCCACAGTGGAGTTCTGAGTTTGAAAGAACATACGAAAAACATTATTATGGAACGAGAACAATAAAAGAACAAGAATTAAGAAAACACAAGATAACGATTGACATTACATTTAAAGTTTTGGAAAGCAAGAGACCGGAAGAGAGTTCTACAAGCGAAAAGTACGATAGAAGAAACTGTTAGCATAGAACTTACGGTTGCATCAAACCAATTCAACTGTAAAGTGATGAGACCTTGCCGTCATTCTAGTACTAGTATTCTAGGTGACATAGAGGAAAGTAAAAAAAAAAAAAAAGTTTGAAGTGCTATTAATTTTCTATGGGTGTTCGGTTACTGTAGTTAAGTCAAATAATTTACCCCATTTGTCTTCCAAAGCACTTCTGCTAATGATTACACGATAGCGTTGCCAAAAGCAGTATATTAAAAAGGGCTTAAAAGTTCCATTTTCTTTCAAGAATTAATACACATTGCTTTCTGGAAAACAGTCCCAAGTAGACGCTTCGCTGATTACTACCATTTTAAACTTTTCAAATAGATAAATTCTTTTTCCCTTTAAGTCCACTTCATTTTCTGAGTTTCTTAGGAAATTCGTCTCCACTCCATTTTTGAGTCAACTTAAGTGTCAGAGTTTTCAGGATTTCTATTTTTTTTTTGTTGTTGTTTTTGAGTGGTCAGCTTCTTTAAAGGACTACTTTAATCATTATCTAAAATCATTGGCAAACATAAAATTTTAGATAATGATAAAAGTAGTCCCTTGGAGAAGTGACCACTCAAAAAACCGAATGGGTGGATCTCTTGTTCCGGAACACAGAATGACAGATAGGGGTTGCCGGATCCCAGCCAGTATCCATATAAGCAGAGAGAGGCAAGAAGTCAGTAAGTAGGTAGTTGACCAGTGAGTGAGAAGGTGACTAGCAGCCAGTGAGGAATCGACCAGCGAGCAGTTAGGGAGATAACAGTCAACCATCAAAGCTAAAAGAGAAAGATTGGCAGTTTAGTGAGAATTCGTAGTGTTGTTATTTTCCAACCACGTTTAGAAAATCATTAGTCGTTATTTTTTGTTGATTATGATCACGGCTAAGGAGACAAATCTGTGAACATAGCCAGGCGGGTGTATATACAGACACAGTCGACCGTGCAGTAAACGACGGGCGAGCGGAGCACGTTGTTACATTTGTCTCACGCTCGGAACTTTAAATGAGAACGAATTTTTTTTTTGAGGGTCAAATGTATGATAGGGAAGAACTTATGAAAGCAGGTCCTGTCGACAGTGATCTGGTTTATACTCTCGCCGGACAGCGATAAGTCTAGGCATAGAGAAATAATGTTATCTCTTCTTTGAGGAATGAAGAAAACACATATCATTAACGAGAGACAGGCGGGACTTATATTTTCGCTGACGAAAACGAATTGGGAAATTTAGATAAAATAACGAACCCTTTTTGATGGTCGGAGTTATGAAAACAGGTCCTGTCGTTGACGAGCAAGTGATTTGATTTATATTTTCGCTAGACAGAGATAATTCCAGGAATTGAGAAATTATTTTATCTCTTCTTTGAGGAATCAAAAGAATTAAAATTAATGACTAGAATAAAACTACGCGCTTTTGGTCATATAAAAAATTAAATTTGTCGCAAAGACTGTTATGCCTGCACTGGGAAGTAGGCTGAGGTTGAATGTTCAGAAAGAAGGAGAAACGAGAGAGAATTTAGCGCACCATCTCAAAGCAGAAATAGGAAACAAAGAACCCTTGTTGGCAGTAATGTGAAAATTGAGGAACCACCGAATCCCCAGAACTTTAGGCCTCACGCCGGTTTTTGGCAGATGTGCATATAA